TTGGGGTTTGTTGTTATTTCACTTCTTTCATTTCTGATTTTGTTTATTTATGTCATCTCTCTTTGCTTCTTGGTGAGCCTGGCTAGAGGTTCATCAATCTTTTTCATCCTTTCAAAGAACCAACTCTTGCTTTCATTGATCTTTTGTATTGTTTTTTTGGTCTCTATGTCATTTATTTCTGCTCTGATCTTTATTATCAGCTTCCTTCTGCTCACTCTGGGCTTTTCTTGTTGTTCTCTTTCTAATTCTTTGAGTTGTAGAGTTAGATGTTTTACTACCATTTTTTCTTTTTTTTTTTTTTTTTTTTTTTTTTTTTTTTTTTTTTTTTGAGGTAAGCCTGTAGAGCTTTAAACTTCCCTCTCAGGATTGCTTTCATTGTGTCCCATAGATTTTGGATTGTTGTGTTTTTATTGTCATTAGTTTCCAGAATGTTTTTAATTTCTTCTTTGATCTCATTGGTAACCCAATCATTATTTAATAGCATGCTATTCAGCTTCCAAGTGTTTGAGTTTTTTGGATTGTTCTTATTGTAGTTTATTTCTAATATTATGCCATTGTGGTCTGAGAGATGCTTGGTATGATTTCAATCTTCTTGAATTTGGGGAGACTTTGCTTGTGACCCAACATGTGGTCTATATTTGAAAATGTCCCACGTGTACTTGAGAAGAATATATATTCGGTGGCTTTCGGGTGAAATGTTCTGAAGATGTCAATTAAGTCCATCTGATCTAGTGAGTCATTTAGGATTGCTGTTTCTTTGCTGATTGTTTGTGTAGAGTATTTATCCAGTGATGTCAGTGGTGTATTAAAGTCCCCTACTATGATTGTATTGTTGTCGATCTCTCCCTTCATATCTTCCAGGAATTTATTTTTTTAATATATTTTTATTGATTTCAGAGAGGAAGGAAGAGTGAGATAGAAATTTCCATGATGAGAGAGAATCATGAATTGGCTGCCTCCTGTAAGTCCCCCACTGGGGATCAAGCCCACAACCCGGGCTTGTGCCCTTTGCTCGAATAAAACCTGGGACCTTTCAGTTCGCAGGCCAATGCTCTATCCACTGAGCCAAACCGCCTAGGGCTCCAGGAGTTTTTTTTTTTATGTATTTGGGTGCTCCTGCATTGGGTTCATATATGTTTATCAGGGTTATATCCTCTTGTTTTATCAATCCCTTTAGTATTATGAAGTGGCCTTCCTTATCTCTTGGTATGGCCTTCACTTTGAGGTCTGTTTTGTCAGATACAAGTATTGCTACCCCAACTTTTTTTTCATTTTCATTTGCCTGAAAGATATTTTTCCAACCCTTCACTTTCAATCTGAGTCCCTTGTTCTGAGGTGGGTCTCTTGTAGACAGCATATATATGGGTCATGTTTTCTTATTTATTCAGCCACTTGATGTCTTTTGATTGGAGCATTTAGTCTGTTTACGTTTAAAGTTATTAGTGAAAGGTACTTGTTTATAGTCATTTTTATTTTTGTGCCTTTGTTCCTTCTTACCTTTTTATTTCGTCTTTTTGTAGCATTTCTTGCATTGCTGGCTTGGTAGTGATAAACTCCCTTATCTTTTTTTGTCTGCGAAGCTCCTGATTTCCCCTTCAATTTTGATTGATAGTCTTGCTGGATAGAGTATTCTTGGATTCAGTCCTTTGCTTTGCAACACTTTGTATACCTCCTTCCATTCCCTTCTAGCTTGATGTGTTTCTGTTGAAAAATCACTTGATAATCTGATGCGGGATCCTTTGTAGATAACTCTCTGTCTCTCTCGCAGCCATTAACATTCTCTCTTTGTCTTTAAGATTTGCCATTGTAATTATGATGTGTCTTGGTGTGAGTCTTTTGGGATTCATCTTGCTTGGGACTCTCTGTACTTGTGTAACTTTTTTATTCCCCATATCCGGGAAGTTTTCTGTCATTATTTCTTCAAATAGATTTTCTAATCCTTGCTGCTCTTCTTGTCCTTTGGCAGCCCTATTATATGTATGTTACTTCGTTTTGTGTTGTCCCAAAGCTCCCTTAGGCTCTCCTCCTGCTTTTTAATTTTTTTCTCCAGTTGCTGTTCAGATTGAGCTTATTTCTCTACCTTATCTTCTAACTCACTAATTCGGTCCTCTGCTTCTTCTAGTAACTGTTGAAATCTTCCATGGTGTTTTTTATTGTAGCTATATCACTTTTGATTTCTTCCTGATTCTTGCATAGGTTGTTGATTTTCTCATCCATTGGTGTAAGAATTGTATGACTATTACTCTGAATTCATTTTCAGTCATGTTGCATGCTTCAATTTTACTAATTTCCTTTCTTGGTGACTCCTCATTTTCTTTCTTCTGGGGATTGTGTTGTCTCCCCATTCAGACTATCACCAGAGGGTTCAAACGTTGAGTTGCATGGGCCTGGGCCGTGTGCAGTGGGAGCTTTGCACCACCCGAGTGTCACTGAAGAGCTCTGACACCTAGACGTGTGGCACCCGTGGGTTGGTGCGAACTGGGCTTGCCCAGGGTCAGTGTTATGAGCACTCAGTGTGGCCTCGTGCATGCACCTAGAATCAGGGACCCTGCCTGCACCACGCTGAAACAGAGACTTCGCTGGCATGTGCAGAAAATCAGAGTCCCCTAGCACAAGCCAGGAGTCAGAGTTCCCCTGTGCCTGCACCAAGAATCGAGTATCAGAGTCTCTGTTGCTTTGTGCGGCCTTGCGCTGAGAATCAGGGTCCCTGTGTGTGCATGCACCAAGAATTGGAGTCACTGGCTCTTAGTGTGAATGCACTGTGAGTCAGGGATCCCAGGCCTACGTGATAAGAAACAGAGTCAAGTCACTGGTGCTCAGTGCTGCCTCCCGCCCAGAGAATCGGGATCCAGGTCAGCTTGGGGGACTGGGTTGCACAGTAGCAGTGTGTCGGCAGGAGGTCCACTCCTGCACTGCGGAAAACAGACTTCTGTGTGCTGCTTGCCCAGAATCGAAGTCAGGTGGCACTTCTGTCCTGTGTGGGCTTCGGGTTTGGTCGCCCGATTGCATTGCGGGGAACAGATTCCCAGTGTCCGCACGCTCCCAGGCTCAAATTCCTGTAGCAGGGCTATGGCCTGTGCAAGGGGCAGGTCTACCAGTTACTATGGCGCTGCCAGTGAGCCTGTAGGGAGGGGGATAGGCTCTGTGACTCACAGAAATCTGCGGCTGGGATGTCTGGATTTTTGGTGTCTGTGGGTCTGCAGCTGTGGTCTCAGGTCTCTGTCCCCAGTGGCTGCAGGGTCCTGGTTTGTGTCTGAGACCAGACTGGATGGTGCTGAGGCCAGGATCCAAGTCTCAAGCAGCTCTGTTTCTCAAGATGGCGTGGTCTCTGTGCCTGTGCTGGCCGCCCCAGAGTGTCCGCGCTGGGAGCGGGGCTCCGCCATCTAAGACTGCCCGGTTTGGCAGCCCCTTGGAAGACCTGCAAAATCTAACTGTCCCTAGCTCATACACACACACACCACACAGGTCCACACACTCCTCTATTGCTCCCTCGCGCTCTCACACTCTCTGCCTCCCTACCTTCCTGCCAGTCGCCATCTTCCTTCCCCTTCCTAAAATTTTTTTTATGTCTTCTATTTTTTTGCTGAGACTTTCTGTCTTTCCACTTGTTTCAAAAGAATTTGTTCTTCTTGGAGCTGCTTTAAAACCCTTTTCAGATATCTTCTGTGTCATCTTGGCATTGGTATCTATTGATTATCTTTTCCTGTCTGAGTTGAGATTTTTCTCTTCTTTTATATACCTTGTAATTTTGGATTGTATCCTGGACCTTTTGAATATCATGGTTTAATACTCTGGATCTTGTGTAAATCCTATGATGAATGTTTGTATTTTTCTTGTAGCAGGCAATTAATGCAGTTGGGCTCAGACTAAAAATTCTGACCAGCCTTCTGTGGACTTTGGTTTCAGTGTTCTTTTCTCACACTTGGAAGTACTGTTTGGATATGCCCTGTGTATGTGCCACCAAGTGGTCAAGTGGTCTGCCCCCTAGTTCTGATCTTAACATCTTTGCTATGCTGTTTAGGATTACATTTTCACATGTGCAGCTTTGAGGTGAGCCTAGGAATTTATACACAACTTTCTGGAATAGCTTTCTCAAGCTCCTTTCTCTCTGAGATCTTCCTAGAAAGCTGGAGCTTCCATTACACTATTCTGCCAGGCATTTCCCATATCTGGGGGTAGGCATCAGGAGCATAGAGAGAGAAAAAAGCCATGGGGGCTCACATTACCCTTTTGGACCCACAGCTCCTTTGATTGGAGAGAAAGCTTTATCCCCTCAGTACTTTAGGTGTTTGTGGTTACTGAGGCAGCCACCGGGTTAGCCTGGGTACAAAAATGTAGAGGCAAGGGGTGGGGGAAAGAAAAGAAATATGGGGGCTTTCCCCCATTCCCTCTGAGTGTTAGCGAAAAGAAAAGTGCTTCTCTTAGGGTATTTACTGCATCCTGGTTCCCACTTCTGGTTTTCAGGCTGCCTTGAGTCCAGGTCAGGGAATACTAGAAGAAAAATAGGAAACTTACCACCAGTCCAGTGGTACTTGAATTCCTATCTTCTAACCCTCTCCACCTGCCCCAATATACTTTCTTGAGTCCCCATATAGCTTCTCCATACATTCTGCCCAGCTTTTATATCTGTGTTCAATGAGAGGGACAAAGTGGAGTATGTTTGCTCCAACATAGTCTGAACCAGAACTTGGTATGTTATCTGTTAATTTTTGTTTTTTAAGTGTCTGCCTCTTTTTTTATTGCAATAACATGGCTTTATTATAGAAATCTTAGAAAATAAAGATAAACTTGGAAAATAAAGATAACATCTTCTGTAAACTCATAAACTGAAGAAAACTGTTATTTTGGTGTATCATCCTTTCTTATTTCGTATACTAGTAAATATTTTTTTCCACTTTAAAAATAAATTAGATAATCAATAAAAATATTAGTGATTTTAACAAGTAATCTTAAGACCCAGATACTACTGACTTGATCTTATGTTGTTTATACTAAATCTTGTATTTTCCATAGGTAGTAAGTCTTTGTCCTCAAATTGGCTGGGTTGAAATTGATCCTGATGTTCTCTGGCTTCAGTTTGTTGCTGTAATAAAGGAATCTGTCAAAGGTAATTGGATTTATGAAAATAAAAATAGTAAAGTATATTTTGTTTGTAATAAGAATTTTCCTCAAGAGTCTGTAGAATTTTGTGGGCTTCCTAGGTTATACACATATAGCATTTTATTGTGGTCACAATGTCAATCTGTTTTGACCAAAATGTCAAGGCAAACAAAAGTGTTACTTCTGGGGTTGGAAACATACATTTGGTTAGAAACCATCTATGTTCCGAACATGAAAGAAAGGGAAAGAGTTTGTGAAGACAGAACAAGGTGGCTTCCAAAGAGTTACATGAGCTGCTTTGAAAGAACTGTGACTGGTGCTGGCAAGCAGACTTACACTATGCTGTACATGACTAATTGCGTATGTCTATTGCTAGGTGAAAAGTTTATTTTTTAACAGCGAGTTCAGTGATGTGGAGCCAGGATGTAGCCATTTGGGTTAGCCCAGTTCAAAAGTTCAATTTCACGTGGTGAGTGTGAGCTAGCTTAGCTTCCTGGAAGCCTTCTGGCTCCATTTTAGATTGCTCTCTTGACAATTTCAACTCCATTTTTTCTGTTTTTCTTTCACAGCAGTTTCCCAGTATTTTTTAGGAGACATTGCAGTTCATAGTGAACTGCTTTCTCAAGGAATGGAAACAGCAACTCTGCCCTCTGGTTTGAGTTTTCTCAGCCATAGTTTAAAGGCTCACATTCTGTCTTTATTCCAGGTTGCAGCTGGTGCCTATTTGTTTTCCTATTGTGTACAAAATGCCAGAGGGTTATAAACAAAATTATAACACACAGTTCCTGCTGTCAGGAGTTACACTGAGTAACCTTTATTATAAAATACTAGAGGCCCGGTGCATGAAATTTGTACATGAGAGTGGGGGGTCCCCTCAGCCCAGCCTGCACCCTCTCCAATCTGGGACATCCCTCTCACAATCCGGGACCGCTGGCTCTTAACTGCTCACCGGCCTGCCTGCCTGCCTGATCGCCCCTAACTCCCTCCCCCCCCCCCCCCGCCAGCCTGATCACCTCTAACCGCCTCTGCCTGCCAGCCTGGTAGCTCCTAACTGCCACCCCCTTGCCAGCCTGATCACCCATAACTGCCTCTGCCCACTGGCCTGATTGCCCCTTACTGCCACCCTGGCGGCCTGGCCGCCCCCAAATGCCCCTCCCCCCTACCAGCCTGGTTGCCTCTTACTGCCCCCCCTGCCAGCCTGGTTGTCCCCAACTGTCCCCCTCTGCCAGCCTGGCTGTCCCACGCAGCCTGCTGTTCAGTCGTTGGGTCATCCCTCACTAATCCCCCTGCCGGCCTGGTTGCCCCATGCAGCCTGCTGTTCGGTCATCTGTCAGTTGTTTCGGTTGTGATTACCCCTGGCTTTTTATATATTAGGATGTGTTTTTTTTAAATTATATTTTATTGATTTTTACAGACAGGAAGGGAGAGGGATAGAGAGTTAGAAACATCGATGGGAGAGAAACATCGACCAGCTGCCTCCTGCACACCCCCTACTGGGGATGTGCCCGCAACCAAGGTACATGTATTTGACTGGAGTCGAACCTGGGACCTTTCAGTCCGCAGGCCGATGCTCTATCCACTGAGCAAAACCAGTTAGGGCTATATTAGGATGTTTTTGATTTTTCTGTGTGGCCTCTCCATTCAAAGTGCTTTCCTGGCTGCTGCCATGGTCTGAAATCTTAGCTCTTTAAGAATGTTTTCAGTGCCACTCTTTTAAAGAACATATGAAACATGTCTTGTAAATGTAAATCCTGAAAGGTCTTTTACTTTATTTTTCTGGCTGAATTACTTTTCACCTATTTGGTTTGAAATATTTCAAAACCTATAAAATTTTGCACGAATAGTACACTGAATACCTATAGAGATTCAGACATGTTTTGCAGTGTTTATACTGTATCATCCTCTACAAACTTTTTGGCTGATTCATTCGAGGGTTGGTTGTGATATAATAACAATATTCCTAAATATTTCAGCATTATTTCCAAAGAAAAGTAGTATTCTCCTATTTCACCACAGCCAGGAAATTTAACATTAATATGGTGACAACTGATGGACATTCACACCAATTTAACACCAACAGGAATCCCCATTTTGGGGTACTGTGAGGAAGGAAACTTTATTTAGTGCAAAACAGCTCAATTGTGATACAGCAGGGCTGTGAAAACAGCACAGGAGTGAGGCAGCTGTGGGCCAGGTGGCCCTGGTACCAGGCTCCTTTCTGGCTAGACAGCTCTGCTAAGAGCTAGTCTGCTTTCTTCTGCACTGTTCTGCTCTGCTCTACTAAGACATCTTCAGTATGTCAGCTCAGCAATGGAAACATAGCTCTTAGTCCTTGGTGGAAAGGGAAGAAAGTGGGCTCCCAGAGCCAGAGGGGAGCTGACATATAGACAGATGTCTCTGTCCCTGGTCCCTGATTGGTCTGTCTTCTTGCAAATAAGGACCCCAAATCCTCACAGTTTGATTGGTCCAAAAGGCATTGTCCTGATTGGTCAGAATGGAACTGCTCTGATTCGTCGATTGGTCAGTGAAGATGTTGATGGGGATATAGCTGTGCAGCTCCAATTGGATGGGGGAAGCCTTAGTTTCATTGGTTAAAGTAGGATTCCAGGAACTCCTTGATAAGGAGCCTGGTCAGCTGGCAGGAACACAGTGCAGGCAGGCAGCTTAGTGCAAGCTTCTCCCTAAAGTGCAGTTTGCATGAGAGGGCCCTGTGTAGAAATGGCTGCTAGGTTCTGTTTTTTAAAATTTGAGTCCAGTTAGCCATCAGGAGCCCTTCTTATTGGGTGTCTTCCTTCTCAGAGTCCACAACAGTATTATTTTCTAATGCTTATTAGATTCCAGTATTCCCCTATTACCTCAGTCATTAACAACTTTTGTTTTCAATCCAGAATCTAACCTAAGATGAGGCATTGCATTTAGCAGTCAATCTATTTAGTCTCATTTAATCTAGAGCATGTTCTTTGTGACATTGACAAGTTTCCAAAATTACAGACCAGCTTAGTAGACTGTCCTGCATTTTGGGGTTGTCTGATTACTTCCTCATGGTTCAGGTTAAGAATTTTTGGGAGGCGTAGGGGATGTTTTGTCTTTCTCTGCTCAAATTGAAGTTGTCTTTAATTTGCTCAATGGGATAAATGCTTTTTTAAAAGAACTTCACAAAAAACTTGCTATATTTTAAGAAATTTGGACCAAAAAACCCCACTATGTTTTTGTTTATATCCTAGCATCTGTTCATGTGGAAAATAAGATTTGAGTTTCACTGGGGATTTTCCTTTATTGCCATTTACCAACTTCTATTATGATTGATCATTGCTTAAATTGAGATCCAATATTTTAGTATTATCAAGAAGAAAATATAATCTGACTTTTAATAGTGTTTGTTTTTTTCAAACATTTAAAGATGAAGGTCATTTTGTTATTATTGGAATATGGCCATTTTCCCTTAAGGGAATCATCTTAGTAATGCTCTCTTTATTAATGCCAAATGTATTATTAGAATACCAGGTAGGGCCCTGGCCAGGTGTCTCAGTTGGTTGGAGTGTTGTCCCGTACACTGAAAGGTTCAGGGTTCAATTCCTGGTCAGGGCACATACCTTGGTTGCAGGTTCAATCCCTAGTCGGGGTGCATACAGGAGGCAGCCAATCAATGTTTCTCTCGCAGATTGATGTTTCTCTCTCTCCCTTCCTCTCTCTCTAAAAAAATTTTTTTAAAAAATTTAAATGCCAGGTAGGTACTGGAAATATCAGAGGAACACTTTGTAAAGTATATGATTGCCTAACTACTATGCTGTACACCTGTAACCAGTACAAAATAATATTGAAACAATAAAAAAAGAAAAACAATGCTAAACCTATATGTTTTTCTTAAAGATTATACTCAATAATTTCTTTTCCATACTACAATTTATAAAGAAAAATTTCATTGACTTTTAAACGTGATTTATCCATCTTTATTTTCAGCTGCAGGAATAGAGATGAATCAAATTGTTGGACTTGGCATTTCAACACAGAGAGCAACTTTTATTACATGGAACAAGTAAGTGTGATAAGCCTTCTGTTGCTGGGTTCATATCACAGTGAATACCTGTTTTGGGAGTTTCAAGTTTGTGAATTAAGAACAGTTTTATTTTGTTAAGAGGGATGAAAGTAAGCCTACTCTCTGCCTTATTGAAATATATTCCTGCATGTCACCTGGGCTTGACTTATATAAAAGAATAACAATAAAAAGACTGTTGCTGTTATTAAAATTATCCATTTCTTTACTTTGGTGTGAGTTAGTTTTTCAAATAAGCCTTGATTGAAGACCTTAAAAATGAGTTTATACCCAAAAAGATTCAGGGAACCTGACAGACTTCAGAAACACATGACTATGACTATGGTTTATATTTTCATTGTACTTCAAATTTCATATTTAAGTACATACAGCATAAGAAGTATATATAGATTAAACACGGTTATAATATCCTAATAGCTACCATATAGTGAATACCTGTGATAGTATTCAGGTTCCATTATCCTTGCAAAGAAACCTGTTATTTTGGTAATTTTATAGAGAAAGAAATTGAGGCTTAGAGAAATAAGTAACTTGTTCAAGCTCACTTAGTAAGTAGAAACAAGATTCCAAATTATCTTTTTACCCCAAAACACATGCTCTTTCCACTACTCCTATTTGCCTTCAACATGTGTTTCTTACTTTGAAAATAATAACAGAAACACTGTAAATGCTTCTTTGTTACAAAGCACTAGGCTGCAAAGGGCATCTTGAGCATGGGGCAGTGAGGGAGATTGCTGGTGGGCATGGGGGAGGTCTAAGAAATATAATGAGGGTGAATTCATAAGGACTTGGCCTTGAAGTCAGTATTAGGCAAGAGGAAGAAGTTCAAATTTAACAGGATTTCTGGCTTGATGTTTGGAAGGATATGATAGAGCTTGTAGAGAATATAAGACAAAGAATGAGTTGGTGATGAAGGTGGGTAAAAGGGAACATGATACAGTGTTTGGCTTGGGAACATGTGCATGTAGAGATATCCCAGAGGTGGTTAGAACATTGTCCTGGTTTAGACTGATGCATGTCTCATCTCCTCCAGATAGGTGCTCGTTCTTTCACAGCATATTGCTTCTCAGGTTGATCCCTATATCTGTAGTCCCCCTGAAATTTTCCCCCCGCCCCCCCAACTCCCCACCCAGTGACTTGGGCATATCAAGTCTTAAATAGGTAATATATTTTTCAGATGAGTAATAATGAAGTAAAGTCGTCAGTGTACTGTGTAGATCAGAATTTCTACTAGTAAATAGTGGCAATATTGACATTTTAGGCCTGATCATTCCTTGTTGTAGGACTGTCCTGTGCATTGAAGGATGTTTAGCAGCATCCCTGCCTCTATTTACTAGATACCAATAGCCTCCTCCCGCAGTTTCTACAACCAAAAATGTCTCCAGATACTGCCAAATGTCCCCTGGGTGGGGGGCAGAATCATTCCTACTTGAGAACGGTTGACGTAGGTGAAGTCTAGAGAAGTAGGTGAGTTCTCTGGTGGGATTATACATAATGGATAGAAGAGAAGAAGACTGGATTTGGACAATGAGTCACTTTGGGGAGTGGATGATATGGAAATAGAGGCAGGATAGTGTTCGTAGGGAAAAAAACTGTTTGGAAGTATAATGAGTGGTTGGATTTGGAAATTAGGTCATTAGCCACAGAGATTGCTTTCATCAGAACCTGATTATCGGGTCATTCATGACATGAAGCTTAAAGTATTAGGAAGCCAAGTTTTCCTGTGGCAGTAGGATCATCTCAGTTTTGGGAGAAATTGAAGAGCCAGATTCCAAGATAGTTCACTTTTCTTACTGGTGTGGCTGTTGTAGAAGGGTAAGATTTCTTCCTAAAACAATTAACACTTGGAGTGCGGGTGAATTTCCCGCCAAAATATAAGATGGCTCTGTCTTTTGGTTTTGTTCCATCCACCAAAAGGGTGGATTACAAACAAATATTTGGTAATACGCAGTTACAATCGGCCCGAGTTTACACGTTTCCCGCACTCCACCGCAAATCTATATGAACCGAGTTAAAGACGGCTCCCGCGGAGTACGCACAATTCACGCGAGCTGACTTAACTCGTTTCCCGCACTCCAAGTGTTAATTGGGAGTTTCTTCTTGGCTGTCCTTCTTTGAGATGTTTGTAGTCTTTCAAGAGTTTTGGAAACTTTGCTTGTACGAACTGAAATACTGAATATTAAAAAAAACAAAAACAAACAAAAATGGGCACAGAAGGCCTTGTGCTTCTTTTATCTTGAAACTAGAGGCCTGATGCATGAAATTCGTGCAAAGGGCTCAGCCCTTGCAACCGCAGCAGCTTGCCTTGGCCCTTGCAGCTGTGGCTTCGTCAGGAAGGTCGTCTGGAAGGACGTCTGGCTGTCTGGTCTAATTAGCATATTAAGTTTTTATTATTATAGATAATGGAACCTTTTCTGCTCCCTGGGCCCCGGGGAGCCATTGTGCCTGTAATGCTGGCAGGTTCTACAGGCTCCCTGACATGACACTTCTCATTTTTTGAGAGAAAAAGAGGCAGACTGAATCTAATATATTGTTCATCCCAGTCCCAGCCAGCACCTTTTCTTCCCAACTCACTGTCTTCTCCTGTGTCCACAGTATGTTCTGTGTCTGTGGCCACAGAAACAGTATTTTCCTTATAGATGCTGTCAAGAAGTCTAAACTTTGAACTTTCTTTTTGTTTTTCTCTTTGTGCCCTTTCCATCCTACTACCTTCTGATGCCAGGAAACTTGTTATTTATTCACTTTTCTTCAGTTCTTGAGTTTTTTGTTTTTGTGTGTTTTTTTTCAAATTCTTTAGGTTAAATTTTTTCAATACATTTAAGCATGTCCTCTTTCCACTACCCCCACTTACCTGTATTCTAAAATTACTCTAAATAATATCTCCTCCATTTTGGTTGCTTTAAATTTCTTTTGTTCTAAAAAAAATTCTTAAGCTGTTTTGTTTCTTCAGTCCTCTGCCTCTCAGGGAGGCTTCTGCCAGCTAACCTCAGATCAGGGTGTATACCAATTAGTAACATAAGCTGAGAGTCCCAGGAGCCAGGGTTCACTCAGCACCGGGCACTGAGAGGGAGGATGGCACTGTGCTGGTTGCTGAACTGAATGTAAAGATGAATAAGAATGCCAGCCCTCAAGGCAGTTATAGTTTCATAATACAAGTCCATAAATTTTGTAGTACTTATGTTAATGGCTCTTACTAATTACTTATGACACACAATACATTAAGAGCCACAGAATGCTATAATGTGTTAAGAGGTTTAAGGCAATTCATTTATAATATTGCCATTCATGTTTCTCCTTAATTTCTCCATTTACTATTGGCAGAGATAAACCTAAATTACTACTCAATGAATATCAGAATATATGCTACTACTTGAGCTCAGGATTCCACATAGTCTTCTACTGTGTTATGAATTAATATGCTACTTTCATCTTGTATCTTCTCCCTGCTGCACTAGCTGTAAACATATGATGCTTCATGCTGCCTTGGAAACTTGGAACATATAATGCATTTTGTTGGGAGTGTTCACCCTCCTTGTTTTTTCTGACTCATCCTTCAGAGCGCAGTACCATTTTCACTTCTCAAAGAAGCTTTTCCTGACCCCTGAGTAGGCAGGTTCTATCTTCCTGTTAAATATACACATGGCACCCGTGTTTCTCCTTTAAAGGACTTATTCCTGTTTTAAGTAGGCCATTGTATAATTATTTGTTTGACTTCCCTGGTAGAAAATATATTCACAGGGGCAAAGATGAGATGTCTCTCTGTTCACAGCTGTGTCCCAGCTCCTGGCACATATTGCTATATAAATTTTTGCTGAATCAGTGATTAATAATAAGATTCAAGTGTATAAATAGCTGCTATTGTAGAATGGATCCAAAGAATCATATATCAATAGATTTAATATCTGTCAAACACAATCTGATAGTTATTATTGGTAGAGAACATTTTTTCATTTATCAAATACCTCTTTGGTATCTGGATCAGGTGGTGAGAATCTGAAAGTGAAAAGACTGCCCTCAGGAGGCTCACAGTCTAGTGGTAGATACAGATGTGTACATTACATAGATAGTTGGGGTACAGCCTGATAGATGTCTGCCCTGTAGACTGCATTATACCTGGCAATGAAAGAGCTGGAGGGGGAGACTGAATAGTGGAGAAGAGGGAGTTAGGGAAGGTTTCCCAGAGGCACTTAAGCCAAGTGTTTTTTGTTTTTGTTTCTTTGTTAAGCCTCACCTGAGGATATTTTTTTCCATTGATTTTTTCTTTATTTTTTTTAGAGAGAGAGTAGAAAGGAGGGAGGGAGGAAGAGAGAGAGAGACATCGATGTGAGAGAGACACATAGATTGGTTGCCTCCCGCACATGCCAGAGATTAAACCTGTCCTTGACTGTAAATAGAGCCTGTGACCCTTCAGTCCATGGGCTGATGCTCTAACCACGGAGCACCGGCCAGGGCTGGAACCAAGTCTTGAAGGAAAAATAGGAGTGTCCTAAGTGGGAAGAGCAAATTACTGGCAAGGGCATGAGGAATAAGAGACTGGTATGTCTGAAGCATCAAAAGTACTTTGGAAATTAGGGTTGAAATAGGGATGGTGCCACGCCCCAGCATTGGCCTCCTTTCCTACTCTGACTCCACCTCTGACCACCCTCCTCTTGTCCTAGGCTCCAGCCACATGGGCTTGCTCTCTGTTTCTGGACCACTCCACCCTGGCTGCTACATTTGGGAGGAGTGGCTTTGCACCTGTTGTTCCCTCTGCCTGGATCTCTCTTACCTGAGACTTATGTCTTTCTCATCATTCAGACCCTACCTCCAAGATCACTTCTTCTAAGAGACCTTCCATGACCATTTTACTTTCCAATCACTTCGTTATTTTATTGTTTTCATATCACGTACTATGTAAAATTTTTGTTTGCTTCTTTGCATATATATTTATTACATCTCTCTGACAAGTAAGAAGTTCCATGAGTATTGGGAATTTTGTCTGC